CACCCCAAAGGCGACCCCTTCCCAGGCCCCTGCCGGTGCCGCCTCATCCCAAGTTCCTGGCCTGCCGGGGCCAGAGCCAGAGATGACTCAACCGGCCCCTGCTCCTGCCCCTGCCTCCCTGCCTGTCTAATCTGCACGGAATATGGTGCCCAACTACATCAAATCTGATCCTGGCATCAGCTTAACTAAGGAAGTAAAGGACCTGTACAAAGAAAACTACAAAACGCTACTTCAGGAAATAAAAGAGGACATGAGGAAATGGAAAGATATCCCCTGCTCATGGGTCGGGAGACTTAACATTGTCAAAATGGCAATACTACTGAAAGCATTGTATAAATTCAATGCAATCCCTATAAAGATACCCATGACATTCTTCAAAGAAATGGAGCAAACACTCCTGAAATTTATATGGAACAATAAGCCCCCACGAATAGCTAAAGCAATTCTTGGGAAAAAGAAAATGGGAGGAATCAACCTCCCGAACTTCAAACTGTACTACAAAGCAGTAATAATTAAAACAGCATGGTACTGGAACAAAGGCAGAACTGCAGACCAATGGAACAGGGTTGAATACACTGACATCTCCCCTCAATCATATGATCATCTAATCTTTGATAAAGGTGCAAGTAATGTGAAGTGGAGTAAGGAAAGCCTCTTTAACAAATTGTGCTGGCATCACTGGATGGCTACATGCAAAAAAATGGGCTCAGAACTCTGCCTAACACCGTGTACAAAAGTAAGATCAAAATGGATTAAAGACCTCAACATCAGACCAGAAACCATAAGGTACATTGAAGACAAAGTTGGCAAAACCCTCCATGACATTGAAGCTAATGGTATCTTCAAAGATGCCACGCCACTGGCCGAGCAAGTGAAAACAGAGATAGATAAATGGGACTATCTTAAACTAAGAAGCTTCTGCACCTCCAAAGAAACAGTGACCAAAATAAAAAGACAGTCTACAGAATGGGAAAGGATATTCGCCGAATACACATCTGACAAGGGGCTGATATCCAGGATATACAAAATACTGGTTAAACTCCACAAGAAGAAAACATCCAACCCCATCCAAAAATGGGGCAATGAAATGAACAGAAACTTTCTCGAAGAAGAAATCCGAATGGCAAAAAAGCACATGAGAAAATGCTCTACATCATTAATCATCAGGGAGATGCAGATCAAAACCACAATGAGATACCATCTCACACCTCAGAGACTGGCCCACATTCAAAAGAACAAAAGCAACCGATGCTGGCGTGGATGTGGCGAGAAAGGGACACTCCTTCACTGTTGGTGGGAATGTCCACTGGTTCAGCCCTTCTGGAAAACAGTATGGACGATTCTCAAAAAATTAGAAATTGAGCTCCCATTTGACCCAGCAATACCACTCCTGGGAATATATCCCAGAGAGGCAAAAATATATAGTCGAAGTGACATCTGCACTTGTTTGTTCATTGCAGCACTCTTTACAATAGCCAGAAACTGGAAGAAACCTGAGTGCCCAAGAACAGAGGACTGGTTAAAGAAACTTTGGTACATCTACACAATGGAGTACTATGTAGCTGTTAGAAAAGATGAAGTCATGAAATTTACATACAAGTGGTACAACATGGAAAGTATCATGCTAAGCGAAATGAGTCAGAAAGAGAGGGATAGACATAGAAAGATTGCATTCATCTGGGGGATATAAAGTAACAAGATATGAGATTAATACCCAAGAATAACTGAGATCAGCACCAGGAGGATTACTCCATAGCTTAGTGGCCAGTCGGAAATTCTAGAGGAAAGGGCAGCTCAGATAGAGAAGGGAACACCAAATAAAGGGTGTTTGGTGGTCCCTCCCAGGAGGGAGGGGAGATGCATGTCGAAAGTGGACTATGGACTGAACATGTTTGCCACTCAATGCCTCTTTTGCAGACCACAACACCCAAAAGGAGAGAGAGAACACAGGGGATTGCCCTGCCACAGAGGCAGGGGGGGATGGGGGGATGGGGGTGGGGGGGGACATTATCCATGGTGGTGGAAAATGGGCACTGGTGGAGGGATGGGTATCTGATCATTGTATAATTGAAACCTAAGCACAAAAATTGTAAATCTACAACTGTACCTCATGGTGTTCCACTAATAAAAAAAAAAATCTGATCCTGGCATTCTTTTGAGTGAATCTGATTGGGGGGAGCACTCATGGCAGTGCTTGGGGAACACTCCTGGCAATGCTTAGGGAGCACCCCTGGCAGTGCTCTCGGCAGTACTCCTGGCAGTGGTAGGGGATCACTCCTGGCATTGCTCTGGGGATCACTACTGGTAGTGCTTGGGGAGCACTCCTGGCATTGCTCTGGGAAGCACCCCTGCCAGTGATTGGGGAGCACTCCTGGAAGTACTCTCAGGTACACTCCTGGCAGTGATGGGGCATCACTCCTGGCATCGCTCTGGGGATCACTCCTGGTAGTGCTTGAGGAGCACTCCTGGCATTGGTCTGGGGAGCACTCCTGCAAGTGCTTGGGGAGCACTCCTGGAAGTACTCTCAGGTGCACTCCTGGCAGTGGTAGGGGAGCACTCCTGGCATTGCTCTGAGGAGCACTCCTGGCTGTACTTGGGGAGTACCCCTGGCAGTACTCAGGAGCACTCCGGGCAGTGCTTGGGGAGCACTCCTGGAACTGCTTGGGGTGCACTCCTGGCAGTGCTCTGGGGAGCACTCCTGGCAGTGCTTGGGAAGCACTCCTGGCAGTGGGGGGGGGGAAGCTCATAGAATCAGGAATTGAAGTGGGGCTCTGGTATGTGAAGCCTGTGCTCTGGCCCTCTGAGTCACCCCTGGACCTCATGCCAGTTTCCAAACAGAAGTCTGACTTCCCAGTTAGCTCAGTGCAGAAAGGTGCCCCCCCACCCCAACTCTGGCGTGCATATCTGTCCGGCACGGCCCCCCTCTCAGCTTCCCCTCTCAGCCTCTGCCTCCCCAGGGGTCCTTCCGCGCTCAGTGTCAGGGGCTTCTCCTCTGAGAAGACCCCCCTGAACAGCCGTCTATTTAAAGACCTACTCATTTCCCCCTCAACCAGGAGCCTCCTGTGAGAAGGGGCGGCCCGCCCGCCTCTCCCCGCGGTGGCCCGGGGCGCGCACACAGCAGGGCTCACGCGTGTCTGTGAGCGAGTGCACACGGTCGCGCAGGCGGAGTGTGTTGTGTGTGTGAAGTGCTGGGCTCATGCGAGGATCACTGCAGGGCCGTCTCAGCCACACCCCGCGCCCACCTCAGAGGGACAGCCGGGCAGGAGACGGGGCAGAGAGCCACTGGCCTGAGACACTCGGCTCAAAGGAAAGACACAACCTCGCCTTCCGCTCGGATGCGGATGAAACGGGAGGGGCTGACGCGCAGAGAATAAGCCGTAAGGAGAAAGACAAACACTAACGGATCCCGCGCCGGCTGGGAAGGAGGACTCAGCGCAAAGGGACGGGCAGGGTCCAGTGGCCAACAAGCCCTCACACGCAGGCCACGGAGCTGGGGGTGGGGTGGGGGAGGGGAAGGAGGGGGTCCCGGCGCTTCGGCTGGGAACGGGGTGGCGTGCTAGCAGCATGGCACCCCTAAAACACAGCAACGCTTCCGCTCTGCAGACCAGGCGCCCTTCAGAAGAGCCCAACTCTCTAGCTCTCATTGCGTGGGTCCGCGGGCACACCCGTCCCTGCTCAGACCCTCCGGCCAGTGGGTGGGTGCATGCGTGTGCATGCCTGCTCAGTGTTTACACGCTTACCCACATTTACCCACTCCTGGCATGGCTCTGAGGAGCACTCCTGGCAGTACTTGGGGGGCACCCCTGGCAGTACTCTCAGGAGCACCCCTGGCATTGCTCTGGGGAGCACTCCTGGCATCAGGTCCAGGGGTGACTCAGTGCTCCCCAAGCACGGCCACGCTGCCATTCTGGAACCATTCCTCACACCCACCGTTTTTCTCTGCCCTCCCCCATCCCCACCTCCGTGCTCACGACCCCCAACCTGCCCCACTGGGCCCGTCTGGGGAAGCTGAGCTTGACGATGTCCCGCCCCCAAGCAAGCCAAGAGTTCTGGACCCCAGCCTGTAGCTGAGAGGCCCCGAGAGGCGGCGCTGAGCCCCGGGCCGGTGTTTCGGCAGCCGGACCCTGCTCCTGCCCAGCCTGGCCACAGGGGCCCGGGGCCAAGACCATCGGATCGCCAAGGCCCTCACCCCGGCTCCAGCTTCTACCAGCCCTGGCTACATCGGTCCCAATGTCTCCGGACTGAAAGCAGGCTCACCCCACTGCCAGCTCCAGGGGGCCCCCCCACTGCTGGGGATGTGGGCTTGGACAGCACCAGGCCCTCCTGCGGGTGTGGGTGGTGGCAGACGGGCTCTCTCGCCCATGGACTTGGGGCTTTGCACCCGCAGCTTGATACAACCACACCAGCACCAGGCCCCACTGTCCCGGAGCTGTGTCCCCAGGGGTCCAGGCCTGGGTAAGCTGAGGCTTCCTCTGGGAGGGGGGGACGGAAGTGGTCAGAACATCCCCCTTCCCCCTGGTGCCATGTCTGTACCAGGGGTGGCCGCCCCACCTGGCCATGTCCATACAGGGGCTTGGTTTGCTCCCATTGTGTCCCGTCCTGCCTAATCTGGTTGTGGCAGGGCCTGTGTCCATAGCTGTACCTGGACACAGGCTTGGGGTGGGGGGCCTTGTCCAGGGGCAGGGATCGGTCAGAGGCTGCATCCGGCAGAGCCTGTAGGTGGCTACGACATCCGTGGGGAGTTGGGGGCGCCGCACGTGGAGGACGTCAGCCGTCTGCCTGCGTCAGGGGTGCAGCGAGCTGCGTTCAGGTCAGTGTCAGACCCGCGGGGACCTCTGAACTTCCAGCTGGACCCTCTGTGCCAGGCCTCGGCTCCTGTCTCTCCTCCGGCAGCGACCCCTCCCCCCACCCCCTCCTCCCATAGCAACCCCTGCCCTCCCTGCAGTGTCCCCATTCCCGGATCCCTCCTCCCACCGCGTCCCCCCCTCCCCGCCGCCCACCTGTGGGGGACAGCTCGGCCACGCTGCCGATGTAGGGGCCGTGCAGGAAGCGGGGCTCGCTGTCGTTGATGTCCTGCACCTTGATGACGAACTCGGACTCGGGCTCCAGCAGGCGGTCGGTGGCACGGTCCCGGGCCTGCGCCCGCAGCGTGTACAGGGGCTTCTGCTCCCGGTCCAGCCGCTCCATGGCGTGGATGTCGCCCGTCAGCTCATCGATGAGGAAGATGGTGCCGGCGCCCTCGCCCGAGATGGTGTATTTGATGGCCCCATCGCCCTCGTCCGAGTCCGAGTGGATCTGGGGGGCGGAGGGGCAGCAGGTGAGGGGCTGGGGCAGAGGGGAGGCGGGGAGGGGGGCTGGGGCGGGGAGGGCGGCTGGTCTGAGGGTGGAGGGTGAGGGGGCAGTGACCCCAGGGGGCTCCTAAGCACAGGCCCTGCTGCCCATCCTCCCGTGGAGACAAGGCCGGGTTAGCCCCCGCCCGGTCCAGCCCGATCTGTCCTGGGTCTCACCTTCCCTCCTCCCAACAAAGCCGCAGCCTCTCCAGGCAGAGGATACACACCTCCTGTGCCCCCCAATTCTCCCACGGCCCTTGACCTGGTCCCGCACCCCAACCTGACCCCTCTGCCCTCCCCAAGTCTACACATGCAGTCAGGCCCAGCCAAATGCCAACACACCCCAAAGCTCTCTGGGACAGGCCCTCTGCTGCCACACACACACACACACACACACACACACACACACACACACACACACACACACAGGCTCGCTCTCCGATTATCTCAGCCCAGGAAACCATCCCTCAACTGGGGACCTTCCACAGGCCCTTTGCACGCAAGCAAGGACAGGCTTCACCGTGGATCTGGCAGGCCGGGTCCAAACACGGCTCCAAGCTGCAGGGCCAGGAGGCTCTCAGCGCCCAGAGGCTGGGCTGGTCTCTCGCCTCCTGAGGGCCCAGCAGGGATGGGAGCAGAGGAAATGCACGTTGAAGACACTACTTGGTGCCGGGTGCTCTGCTAAGCAACTCACAGACCTGCCTGGTTTAGGGGCCTCCTGGGAAGACCCTCGGGACGGGTCAGAGACAGGACGGGGGAAGGGCACTTGTCATACACGCAGGCGACTTGGTTTTGATCTCTGGCACCACATATGGTTCCCGGAGCCCACCAGGAGTGATCCCTGAGCTCAGAGCCGGGAGTAAGCCCTGAGCAGTGCTGGGAGTGAAAGAGAGAGAGAGAGAGAGAGAGAGAGAGAGAGAGAGAGAGAGAAGGAAAGAAAGAGAAGGGGCCAGAGCTATAATACAGCAGGTAGGGTGTTTGCCCTGCACTTGCCTGACCCGGGTTCAATCCCCAGCATCCCATGTGGTCCCCTGAGCACCATGAGTGATTCCTGAGTGCAGAGCCAGGATTAACCCCTGAGCATCACTGGTTATGACCCAAAAAGCCCCCCTCCCCCCCAAAAAAGAGAGAGAGAAGGAAGAAACGAAGCAAAGAGAACTGGAGATATGCAGTGGGTAAACGGGGGATTTGCCTTGCACGTGGTGTACTCAGGGTCAATCCCCGGCATCCCATATGGTCCCGCTAGCACTGCCAGGAGTGATTCCTGAGTGCAGAGCCAGGAAAAAGCCCTGAGCATTGCCCTGTGTGACAAGACCAAAGAGAACGAGGGAGAGAAGAAGGAAGGGAGGGAGGGAGGGAGGGAGGGAGGGAGGGAGGGAGGGAGGGAGGGAGGGAGGAAGATCCTAGAATCCTCTGTACACATCTTCCCGTTTTCTCTTTTTCATTATTTACTGTGGTGGGGGGTTGGTGGGGGGGCAGGTCTCCATCCGTGCTCAGAGAGGTGCTGGGATCACGCTCAGCAGTGGGTCCAACAGTACCTGGGGCCATCAGGACGGTGCAGTGCCGGGAATCAAACCCAGGCCCCACCCGCCAGGCAGATGCTCGCCCTGGAGTCTGTGTCCCTGCTTTCCCACGGAGGATCCGACTGGTGCATGGTTTGTTCCTACGTGGCCTGTGCCATCATCCATCACAGCCCAGCACGGGGGACCCCAGCATGGCCTCCCGGGGGGGGGGTTCTCTGCCCAGGCCTTGTCCCTGCCCGGAGCAGCAGTGGGAAGTGGGGGAGGAGGTCGAACCTCACCTAAGGCCCTGCCGGCTGCCCAGGGCCACTGGACGAGGAATTGAACCGCCAACATCTGGCCACACCCACGGAGCAGTACCTGGGTAGCTGTGTCCCCCACCCAGCTGAGCACATTTAGCTGCTGGGGCGGAAGGTGCTGCAGCGAGAACAGGAGGGGAGGGGAGGGGAGGGGAGGGGAGAAAAGAGGGGAGGGAAGGAAAGGGGAGGGGAGAAAAGAGGAGAGGAGGGGGAAGGGGAGGGGAGGGGAGGGAAGGGTGCGTCCCAGGAAGAGACTATTCCTCCTTTATAACTGGTAGTACCACCCCGGTGTGCTGAAAACCAGCAGGGCCAGAGAACCACGAGCATCCAAAAAAGACGCCTGTCCTGGTGGTCCTCGGACTGTGCCCCAGCTGGGAGTGGGCAGGGCCAAAGCCAGGCCTGGGAGGCACTGGGCCCCCCGGCTCTCTGCCCTGCATCGGGGCTCTGGGCAGGGCCCAGCAGGATGGTCATTTCCGCAGTCAGAAACCCCGGAGTGTTCTTCTCCCAGCAGAGAGGGGCGTCCGGGCGGAGGATGGGGTTCGGGAAGAAGCCCGGGACCTTGGGCGGGTCCCTGCTCCTGCCTAAGCTGCCGCCGCAGAGACAGACTATGGAGGGGACAGTCACTGGGGCTCCCCGAGTCCCCCACCCCGCCTCAGGAGCTGGGGACCCTACGAACCGTCACGTCGGGGGACGACGCAAGCCCACCCACGTCCCCGCAGGAGCAGCTCGGGTATAAATTCTGCGGGTGGAACTCGGTGTCTGAAAGGTGGATTATAGAAGTGCCATTCGGAAGATTGAATGGCCCATAAACATTTTCATATTTCATTAGCCGATTAATGGGCATCTCTCTCTTTTTGGCGAGTCTGCTGATTCTCAGCAGAAATTGCGGGGAGTAAATGGAGGCGTCTGGTGGAACCTTCCCGGGTCCCCGTCCTGTTATAGATTGCCCCAATTAATGCCCGTCCTGGGCTCCACGGAGAAGCCTTCTTCCTGTCCAGTTACTGTTAATAGATTTCTCATAAGTGGCTGGATTGTAAAAACCTCATAACTCAGTTTAATGCCCCCAATAAAATTATCTCAAGACGTCGGTCCTGAATCACAGGCGGTGCGGGACGAGGAGACGGGCCTCCAGGTCGCTGTTTGAGCCTTGACGCCACCTTTGCCCGGCGGGCAGGGGAGAGGAGGCGGCTGGCGGGCTTCCTCTCGGGGTCCCTCTGCCGGCTCGTCCCCGGAGTCCTGGACTTTCATGGGCAAGCGCTTCCGAACCGTGGGTCAGCACAGACACCATTCCTGGCTGGACCCTGCCGGCCGCCAGCACTGCTCTGTGAAACACCGGCAATTCCCATTTCCCAGATAAGAACATTGAGGCACTCACCAGTGTGCCAGTGTGGTGGGGGGCTTGTTCCCCTTCTCTCTTCCTCTCTCTCTCTCTCTCTCTCTCTCTCTCTTTCTGTTTGTCCCTCTCTGTCTTTGTCTCTGTCTCTCTCTGTTTCTGTCTCTGTCTCTCTTTCTCTCGCTCTCTGTCTCTGTTTCTGTCTCTCTTTGTCTCTCTGTCTCTCCCTCGTTTGGGGGCCACACCCAACAGTGCTTAGGGCTTACTCCTGGCTCTGCACGCAGAGATCACTCCTAGCACTGTTTGGAGGACCATATGGGATGCTGTGATCGAACCCGGGTTGGCCGTGCGCAAGGCAAACACCCTCCCCACTGTGCTATCACTCCAGCCCCCACCCCACATCTGGCCTCTCTGAATCTGTTTTCCCACCTGAGGAATCAGACTGGGTCCCCCCACCCCAACCCAACCCAGCCCCCAGGGCACAGGTGGGCCCAGCTAAGCAGCCTGTAGAGACCCACTGCAGGGACATTAGCTCAGACCCAGGGCAGGGATCATCGATGAGGCGCCCGCAGGAAGGAGCAGAACCCGGCGGTGACGTCACCGCTGCCCCTCTGAGTGCACAGGGAGGGAGGTCCCCGGGGGACACAGCCAAGTGGAGGCGGGAACTTGAGATTTATTGCGGGCAGCTGGGGTAGGGAGCCGCATACCTGGGGCTCCACCCAGGGAGAGATTTTTCTAGACTCTGCTAGGAAGGAGGCTAGAGGGAGGCGCTGGCGTGTCCTGGACGCCTTCTCGGGTCCCCGTGGGCTGTGCCCCCCTTTTCAGGTAGACCAGAAGGGCCCAGCTGGGGGGCTCCGCAGTGCCAGGGTGTCCCTGGCAGCCTCTGGGGCTCTGCGGCTCGTGCGGAGGGAAGAAGGGGGCGTGGGGTGGCCCTGGCCAGCTGCGTTCTGGCTTCTGGCCATGAACCAGGGCTTTCGGCTTGGGGACCTCGGGTACGGCTGCAGGGCTGGCCGGGACTGCGGCTCAGCCCTGCCTTCCCAGGCCTCAGTGCTCTTGTCCACAACTGGGCTGGGGACGCGGAAGGCTCTCACAGTCATCGGCCCAGCGGCATTTCCCTTCCTGGCCTGGACACGGGAGGAGGGAGACCGGGTCACCTCGCCTAGCCCCCCCCCCACCCCATTTCCCGAGGGAAACAAAGACAGGCTCAAATCCTGGCCCATTGGAGCAACTGCGTGCGGTCTCAGCCATCTCTCAAGCTCCCCTGCTTCCTCCTCCGGGCAGTCCTCTCAGATGCCCTCTCGTTGGAATGAAGAGTCCTCCTCCTGTTCTGTGTCCCTGCCCCAGGAGCCCACCTCTCTGCACCACACACACTGCTCAGTGTCCCCAGCTGTTGTGGGCCTGGGGGGGGCAGGGATGGACAAAGACTTTTCTCTTCTGTCTGATCTCCCCAGGCCTGACACATTCTTGGTTCCCTGAAAATGTCTGCATGGAAAAGACAGAGAAAATGAGATGTGTGTGTGTGTGTGTGTGTATGTGTATGCAAGTATGTGTGCATGTGTGTGTGCATGTGTATGAGTGTGTGTGCATGTACATGCCATGTATATGCGTGTGTGCACAAACATGTGCGCACACACATATAGACACGTGTGTGAAGTGCGTGCATGTGTGCGTATGTGCCTGCACGTGCATGCAAATGTGTGTACACGCACGTGTGTGCACACGTGAGTGTGTGAATGTGTGTGCATGTGCGCGCATGCGTGTGCGCACGTGTGTGCACGCGTGTGAGTGTGCACGCATATACATGCATGTGCGT